AGCTGGCCAGGTCGCCCCCTTGAGCCTTTTGGTGGTGCCTCGGCAAAGGCCATTTGGAATGCGCGCTGCGACCATAAATTCCACGAATCACCCTCCTCCTGTCTCGAAATTCTCCAACTCATCCTGGCTCAGTTCCTCCTAGCTTTCAAAATCTTCTTGTGGAGGAGGAAGAAACAATCAGTTAAGAAATAACAACGCTCAGCCACTCGTCTTAAGCTGGCCACCCGATTACGTCTCCTTGTTTTTTATCCTAACGGCAACCCATCTATCCACCCAGATCTTCGCTCGTCATGGCTTCTTGGAAACCCCTTTCACCTCCCGTAGACCCCTCACATTTTTTTTGCATAGAGCACTCCCCAGCCATGCTGGAGGTTATCAGTTGGATAAGGAAGTAACGTGTTTCCTACGTACGCCTTTGGGCTGTTGGTTTGTGTAGACCATATTTCCAGTGCAGCGGTATTACTACTGGCCGGAGCTGTTGACCAACGTACAGCACCACGTGGGCTCGCGTCCTACGTGTCAGGTGATGAAGAGGTCGCAAAAAAGAAAGGCGGGTCAGTTGCAGCGGATTCTGACAAAATTAGAAGAAAGAAAGAGGAATGAACTAGCAGAAATGGGGATACAAATAGCAAACCCTAGAAGGGTTGTACTCGCTATAGAGCACCCCACTACAGGCTAGAACATAAGAATAATATTCTGACACACCCCCATAGCCAAAGTGGGGTGTAATCAGCAGAGCAGGCAAAGCAAAACAAGCTCAGGGTGGATCACAATGTCACCACACATTCTGAGCACAAGTTCAAGAAGAAATAGTTTAGAGTTCACAATTATAAGCAAAGCTAGTGGTAGTCACAACGGGCAAGTGAGGAGGAGGAGGGAGAGTGAGGGGAGAGGAGACAGGAGGCGACGGCTGAAGCTGCAGACACACGGGCAACAGGAGGCAGACTGGCACAGCGGCTACCGGACAGCGCCCGGACTACAGGAGTAACACGCCCCGCGGCTCAAATAGCGGCGGACGGGCAACGGACCCACGGGCGGCTGGCACAGCTGGCTACGAGTGGGCTACCGGGACAGCGCCCCGGACTACAGGTGCTGCGGACGACAAGCCGGCAGCCTCCGCTCAACCTCCCGCAAACAGTCCCACCCCCCTGATACACACCCACTACTACACCGCTAGCTCTACTCCCACGCACCCCCCTTAAACCCTAAACCCCAGTCTCCCACACAACCACCCCCCTCAGCGACAGCTGCAGCAGTGGGAGACGAAGGAGGAGGAGGAGCAAGGGAGGAAGGCACACCGGCCACCCCCATACCCGCCACCCCACAGCTCGCCCCTCCCGTCGTCCGTCGAGGCGACCTGAGGGGGCCGCAAGCGGCCCCCTCAGGTCGCCTCGACGGACGACGGGAAATGGCAGGGGGAGGGGGGGGGGGGGGGGGGGGGGGGGGGGGGGGGGGGGGGGGGGGGGAGGCGGTGTGGTGAAAGGGGCCCACCACGGGCCTGGTTGGAGGGCGGGGCCGCGACAAGGGGCGGGGCCGCGACGAGGGGCGGGGCCGCGACGGTCGGGCAGGGCCGCTTCGAGGGGCGGGGCCGCGACGTAGGGCGGGGCCGCGACGGTCAGGGCGGGGCCGCGACGTAGGGCAGGGCCGCAACGGTCGGGCGGGGCCGCGACGTAGGGCGGGGCCGTGACGGTCGGGGCGGGGCCGCGACGTAGGGCGGGGCCGCGACTGTAGGGCGGGGCCGCGACGGTCGGGGCGGGGCCGCGACGTAGGGCAGGGCCGCTTCGAGGGGCGGGGCCGCGACGCAGGGCGGGGCCGCGACGGTAGGGCAGACACCCGCCGCGCGCCTCGGGGCGCACAGCGGGCAAAGAACCGCCGCGCGCCCCGGGGCGCACGGCGGGCAGAAAACCGCCGCGCGCCTCGGGGCGCACGGCGGGAAGGAAAGGTAGCAGCGGAAGCGAGGTGGAAACCCACCCACAGGATCGATCCAAGGGGATCGACCTGCCCTGATAGCATGACAAAATTAGAAGAAAGAAAGAGGAATGAACTAGCAGAAATGGGGATACAAATAGCAAACCCTAGAAGGGTTGTACTCGCTATAGAGCACCCCACTACAGGCTAGAACATAAGAATAATATTCTGACAGATTCCACCGCCCGAGCTCGCCTGGCAGCAGGTTATCATGGATTTGGTCACAGGGTTACCTTCGAACCCTGGGGGTAACGACGCGGTTATGGTCGTCTTTGACAGGTTGACGAAGATGGCACACTTCGCTGCGTGCAAGAAATCGATCTCAGCCGAAGAAATCGCTCGCCTGTCCATCGCAGCTGTCGTTCGACTGCACGGGATACCAGCCACGATAATCAGCGACTGCGACACGAAGTTCACCAGCAACTTCTGGAAGAACCTTTGGGAACAGCTCGGAACCAGGCTACAGTTCAGCTCGTCGTACCACACCGAGCGCGACGGTCAAACGGAGCGGACGAATCAGACGATGGAGTAGCTGATTCGTGCCACGTGCGACGACCCGACATTTTGAGAGCAGCAGCTGCCGCTGATTGAGTTCGTGTACAACAACGTCACGTCAGCGACGACGCAGAAGTCCCAGTTCTACCTGAACTACGGACAAAACCCTACAGTGCCCATGACTCCGAGTCCAGACAACCCAACACCACACGCACAACAATTCGCCGAGATTCTGCAAGCAGCCTGCACCAGAGCCGCTGAAGCAATTGAAGAAGCAAATGTCATCGCTAAGCGCAACGCTGACCGCCACCACCGCCTAGTCACGTACCGAAATTACGACCGCCCATCGTCCCGAAATTACGACCGCGCTACTGTGGACCCTTCCAAATCAGCCACATGATCACCCCAGTAACCGCTTATTTACTGTTGCCGACAGACTGGTACATCAGCCCATCATTGCACGTCAGCCTCCTTCGCCCATATATCCCTATCACGAGCCAACTGCCGCGTCACCGCCCGCCATCCATGAGTCGCCCTACATCGGAGCCGGTCATCGAGCCCGAAAAAAATCGGAGACATCGGATTCGACACCCCATGGGAATCTGAAGGATCGATTTCCTCGTTCGCTGAAAGGACCGCACGCCAACTGAGTATAACTGGGTGCCCCTGACCAACATCGAAAACCACCCTGCCCTGCAAGTGTACCTGAGGAGCCGGGGTTTCCGCGATATGCACGCACTCGCGTAGCGGAGGGGGCTTCTTGAAGGGGGGGGGAGGGGTAGTGTAAGGAAGTTTCTCGATATTCCTTAGCGCATCCAGCAACATCGTGTACAGCAGCAGCCGTTCTTCGCCCGTTACTGCTAACGGGGCTTCGCCGACTTCGCGCGCACTGTTTCACCAAACCTCGCACTGCTGGCCCGGCCGTGTCGGCCTACGCTTCGGGACTAGCCCGAACCTCACTGCGAGCGTAGCACCAACTAGCTCACACGCACCGCGTTACCGTTTGCATGTTTCGCGTATAAATGTTCGCGCATGCCTTCGCTCACATTTTGTACTCGTTTGAAACTTAGTGCAATCCTCGCTACCTCGATTCATTGCACCCGTAACAATAGCTCATATAAGCAAAAAAAGATATGTCTGTATTTTTGTAACGGACAAAAGTATTGGAATGTAGTCATCAGCACTCAATGTGGCTTTCCTTTCCCACAGTATTGCTTTTCTGAAAAACTGCTTTCACGAGTCCGAAGGTAATCCCAAGGCATTTTCACGGGTATCCCGCTTGCAGCACTAACCAGCCTAGCAGCCTTTCTCCAGTCTTCTGCTTAGTTCTCACATAAGACAAGCATCCGCCGGGAGCCTTTCACTCGCATCGTTATTTTCCCACGGCCTGCTGATAAATAATTCGTCCAAGAACTAATTAACTTAGGCATATTCACGGTTTCGCAATGCCGTCACTTGCGTATGTGGTCCTGAGAGTACAGATATCGCTTTCAGAGCGCTGAGTCCCTGATGCCTCGACTCGTCGCCATTTTTCTTGCTAGTCGCTGCTGATCACTGGACGCGCTTTATAATAACGTTCATTTCTTCGCGTGCGTTTTCAGACCTTTTCACCTAGCGGTCTCGATAGTCCGAGTGTAAAGCGCATTCTGCCTGCGTCTTCTTGTCACTCTCTCAGCCCTTTATATATTTTCGTTTCCCTACGGCGTGTAGCCATCTCGAGAGCTCCTGGGCTTGCAGTCGTTACATTGTAGTAATCGTCGACTCCTTTAGTCGTTAGGGTATCATTTACTCTCGGCAACCGTCAATGGACCTTTTTAACGAGGATAGAGCTACTTTGACTTAGTACGCGTTACAAGCTCGCAAACCAACCCTTCATACTCGCTAATATCACGCCGCGTTGTTCGACATGGCGGCAGAGCAGGGACTGCCGAGTCCCGGCATTCGCCTATCAGACCCTGCCGCTCTTCTAACGCATATCGAGGTCCCCAACCAGGTAATTATAACAAAATTCGCATTTACGATTAAGAAACGAATTTCATTCAGTCACGAGGTTGCTGACCATGCGTAGATGTTGCAATGTCTCATGGAAGGGAGAGCCTCCAGTTCCTTCATCGCGTGTAGAGGTCCCCAACCAGGTGTTATGTTGAGATCCGTTCACTCAGATGGTCTCAGGTTGAAACAGCAGTCAAGAACCATGCACGATGGCCCCATTTGAGATGACTTTTGAGTCGACTCAAAAGTCACCTCTTTTGAGTCGACTCAGAAATGGTCTCAGGTTGAAACAGCAGTCAAGAACCATGCACGATGGCCCCCTTTGAGAGTCGATGGTGTTAAGGTCAAGTCAATGGCATCAACGCCCTTCCAGTACACTCAAAACGCACCTGGGTCTTCAGTAATATTCATGCCGTTTCTCGGTTTCGTTTCAATCATGTTTTAGCTGGTAGTTTATTACCTCTGTCCGTCAGTTCTGCCTTTCCCGGTTTTCCTGGCCGTCATCTTTCCCTCCTTCACTGATACGGCCCACACTGCTGCTCCAGGTCAGGGATGTCATAATGGACGGTCCAGATCGCAACAGCGACGCGTACTACACGTATTTGGACGCTGTGGATCGGCTGAACGGTGCAGTGCGGTTCATTGAGGAGGAGCTGCGCAACGGGCGGTACCTGATCATGAGGGCCATGGAGAATGTCAAGGCGGACTTCCACGGGCTGCTCGCGGATAGCAGGTGTGCAGAGGGGTGGAGTGCGGATTGGGGTGGGGGCTGTGGGGTGACGAACGGTGGGCAGCGGTGGGGTGGGTTGGTAGGGGGGCCTTCATAGTCGTGCGGTACCTGATCGTGCAGGCCATGAGGAGTGTCAAGGCGGACTTCCACTGGCTCCTCGCGGATAGCAGGTGTGCGGAGGGGTGGAGTGCGGGGTGGGGTGGGGGTTGTGGGGTGAGGAATGGCGGACAGCAGGTTGGGGGTGGGTGGCATGGGGGGAGCCCGGGCGGTACCTGATCGCGCGGGCCATGGAGAATTTGAAGGCGGACTTCCACTGGCTGCTCGCAGATAGCAGGTGTGCAGAGGGGTGGGGCGTGGGTGGGGCTAGGGTGTGGCGGACAGCAAGAGGGGGAAGGCGGGCTGGAGGTGTGGGGGGTGCGGGGTGAATAAGTGCGGACAGCAAGGAAAGGAGGCGGACAGCTGGTGGGGGAAGGTGGGCAGCAGATGGGGGAAAGGGGACAGCAGATGGGGGGAGGGGAACAGCAGACCTGGGGGGGGGGGAACAGCAGCTGGGGGAACGAACAGCAGATGGGGGTCGGGAACAGCAAATGGTGGGATGGGAACAGCAGATGGGGAAGGGGAACAGCAGATGGGGAAGGGGAACAGCAGGTTAGGGCTAGCTTTGTGCGCTTGGCAGCTTTCAGAGCTTCCTATCGATGCTGGCATATGGCACGGGAGACTATGAATCAAGGTAACTTCTTGAGTCGATTCGAAAGTCACCTGGGTTAGGGCTAGCTTTCTATCCTTGACAGCTTGAGTACCTTGTACTCAATGTTAGCAAACAGGACGGGAGACAACGAGACAAGGTGACTGCTGGGTTGGGTTGATTCAGAAGTCTCCAAGGTTAGGTCTAGCTTTCTATCCTTGACAGCTTGAAGACCTTCCAGTCGATGTCGGCATGGCATATAGCACGGGAGGCTGCACATCCCATGGGCCTCTGCGTCTCTGTGCTTCCCTTGCCGCCAATCCCCCATCAATCCCCCATCAATCCCTCACCAATCGTCCCAACCCACCCACTCCCCCTCACACCCACCCCCTCCCCTCCCCCCCCCCCCCTCTCCCTCCTCTCCCCTCCTCCCCCTCCAGCCTCTTTCCGGACCTGGACGAGCTTCGGGAGGCGATGCTGTCGGAGGAGTCGCCGGACCAGATCACGCCCCCTGAGATGATTGCCGAGGCTGCGCTGCCGAAGCTGCACGCCATGGCTCGGCGGCTTGTGGAGAACAGTTGCGCGACCGACTGCACTCGTGCTTACAAGTAGGCTCTGGGTGTGTGCGGGGGGATTGAAGGGAGTGGGGGTGGTGGGGAAGGGTGGGGAAGGGTGGCGAGGATGGGGTGTGGGAAGTAGCAGGTGGGTGCTGGTTGGGAGGAGAGGCAACAACAGGGGGACACACGCCATGGCTCGGCGGCTGGTGGAGAACGGATGTGCGTTTGACTGCACTCGCGCTTACAAGTAGGCACTGGGTGTGTGTGCTGGGGGGGGGAGGGATTGGACGGGGGTGGGGGTGCTGGGAGCGGTGGAAGGGGTGAGGTGGTGGAGGTAGCAGGTGGGTATTGGCTGGGGAGGGAGGGAAACCAAGGATGCACTCCATGGCTTGGCGGCTGGTGGAGAATGGATGTGCGACCGACTGCACTCACGCTTACAAGTAGGCTCTGGGTGTGTGTGTTTGGAGGGGAGGACAGTGAGAGAGAGGATGGGGAGATGACGGGGAGAGGAGGGGGCGAGGAGGGAGAGGAGGGAGAGGATGGCGAGAGGAGGGGGAAAGGAAGGGGGAGGAGGGAGAGGGATGGGGAGTGGAGGCGGAGAAGGGGGTGTGGAAAAACTCTGGAGAGCTATAGAAGTGGTTGTGTGGTTGTGTGGCTGTTGGTTGTGTGGCTGTTGGTTGTGTGCCTGTTGGTTGTGTGGCTGTTGGTTGTGTGGCTGTTGGTTGTGTGCCTGTTGGTTGTGTGCCTGTTGGTTTTGTGCCTGTTGGTTTTGTGCCTGTTGGTTGTGTGCCTGTTGGTTTTGTGCCTGTTGGTTTTGTGCCTGTTGGTTGTTGGCTTCCTAATGGCGGACAGAACCAAAGGGGGGGATCCACACCACTGCACCCCAAAGGCCCCCCTAACTTTCCCCTTTGGTTTTCATGACCTGCAAACCAACAGGGAGCAACGAGAGGCCGCATTGAGGAGGAAATCCTAGCAGCTGGCCATGCAGCCGATGACCAAGGCCAAAATCCACGGCACCCCGTGGCCCCATGCACCCCCCTTTGCTTGCCCCCTGGGTCCCCGTGTCCGTAACCAACCAAACAGGGAGCAACGAGAGGCCGCATTGAGGAGGAACTTCCAGTGGCGGGCCGTGCAGACAATGACCAAGGCGGAGAGCCTCAGCGGAGAGCCTCAGTTGAGAGCTTCAGCAGCATATGAGCATCCTCCCCTTTTCCCTCGGTTCCCTTGTATGTGTGTCCTGCAATCAGGGAGAAGCGGGAGGTAGCACTAAGGAGGAACTTCCAGCGGCTGGGCGTGCAGACGATGACCAAGGCGGAGATCCACAGCACCATAACAGCTCCATTCCCTCTCCCCTCGTTCCTTCGTATGTCTGCCTTGCCAACAGGGAGAAAAGAGAGGCAGCGTTGAGGAGGAACTTCCAGCGGCTGGGCGTGCAGTCGATGACCAAGGCGGAGATTCACAGCACCCCGTGGCCGCAGCTGGAGGAGCGGATGAGACGGTGGAGTGAACACATGCACATTGGGGTGAGTGAGAGAGGGAGAGAGGGAGATGCCAGAGAGGAGTGGAGAGGAGAGGAGAGGAGAGGGAGAGGGGAGAGGGGAGAGCACTGGATGAGGTGGTGGAGCGAGCACAGCACATGCACATTGGGGTGAGTGAGAGAGGGAAGAAGCGGAGGAGGAGAGGAGGGAGAGGGAACGAGAAGAGGATTATTCGAGAGGACCATTCGAGAGGGGAGAGCAGCGGATGGGGCAGTGGGGAAAACACATGCACATTGGGGGTGAGTGGTGAGGGGGGGGGGAACATATGCACAGTGGAGGTCCTTCTTCCTCTCCAAATCCCTCTTCCCCACTTCCCTGCTCCCTTCCCCTTCTCTCCCCTCTCGTTCCTGCCCCCGCCCCCACCCCCCCCCCTCCCCCCCACCCTTACACCCGATGATTCTGGTGGCGGGGGAGAGGGAGGCGTGTGACGAGGTGTTTGACGGGCTCGACCCGTGCGGCGAGCATATTCTTACTTCCCTTTGATCTCCCCCCCCTCCTCCTCTTCCCAACCCCTTCCCTCTGCTTTCCACACCACTCCCCCAACCCCCCCTCACGCCAGATGATTCTGGTGGTGGGGGAGAGGGAGGCGTATGACGAGGTGTTTGACGGGCTGGGCCCATGCGGCGAGGGGAACTAATTCTCAATCAACCACCCTTTCTCTTCCCTCTGACTCCCCCTCCCCCCTCCCATCCCCGACCCACTCTCCCCACCTCCCTCCGAACCCCCCACCCCTACCAGATGATTCTGGTGGCGGGGGAGAGGGAGGCGTGTGACGAGGTGTTTGACGGGCTCGACCTCCCCTTCCCCACCTTCCCCCCTCTTCCCCCTCAACCCTCCCTCGTACCCGCCCCCCCCCCACAACCCCACGCCAGATGATTCTGGTGGCGGGGGAGAGGGAGGCGTGTGACGAGGTGTTTGACGGGCTGGGCCCCTACGGCGAGCAGTGCTTTGTGGACCTCTCGCGCTCCTCCATGCTGCTGCTCGCCGGCTTTGGCGAGGCCGTGAGCGAGATCAAGAAGACCCCTGAACGGCTGTTCTCGTTCCTGGACATGTACGAGACGACTCTCGACCTCAAGTGCACGGTACGTGAGGCAGCACATACACATACTGACCTCAGTGGGGCTGTGCTCCTTTCCAGGTCACAGCCCCTCTTCCCCCACCACCCCACTGCTCGCTGGCTTTGGCGAGGCCGTGAGCGAGATCAAGAAGACCCCTGAACGACTGTTCTCCTTCCTGGATATGTACGAGACGACGCTCGACCTCAAGTGCACGGTATGTGCTGTTCTGACTCAAGTCAATGGTAGTCAAGTCAACGCTAGTCAATGATGTTGCTTCCACGCACGAGATCAAGAAGACGCCCGTCCGAACGGCTCCTCAACCCGTAGAACAACTCCTTGCCTCGAGATTACGAGACAACGCCGGACCGTAAGGGGTTGTTCAAGGGGCCCGGGGGGGAGATGAAGACCCTAGAACAGCCCCTTCTGGTCCCATCCCAAGGCTACAGACCCGAGGACAAGCAGCCAGGGCGACGTTTGAGACGCCTGGGGAGACTGCGAAGGCGCCCATCTTTCCCCCTTTCCTTCCTTCCTTCCTTCCTTCCTTCCTTCCTTCCTTCCTTCCTTCCTTCCTTCCTTCCTTCCTTCCTTCCTTCCTTCCTTCCTTCCTTCCTTCCTTCCTTCCTTCCTTCCTTCCTTCCTTCCTTCCTTCCTTCCTTCCTTCCGTCCGTCCGTCCGTCCGTCCGTCCGTCCTTCCTTCCTTCCTTCCTTCCTTCCTTCCTTCCTTCCTTCCTTCCTTCCTTCCTTCCTTCCTTCCTTCCTTCCTTCCTTCCTTCCTTCCTTCCTTCCTTCCTTCCTTCCTTCCTTCCTTCCTTCCTTCCTTCCTTCCTTCCTTCCTTCCTTCCTTATCACTCCCCCTCTATGGCACTCCCTGTCACCCGCTAATGCAACACTCGCAGGTGGACGAGCTATTCAAGGGGGCCCGAGGGGGAGATGATGCGGCGGGCGGGAGTGCCAGCACCTTCTCAAGACCCTCGGGCTTATCGCTCTCCTGCCCCTCTTTCCCTCTGTCTTTCCATCTGCCCTTGTGCTCCTTCATCTTTCCCGCTCTGCCCTCACCTCACATACTCCCCACTCACGTCACACTCGCAGGTGGACGAGCTATTCAAGGGGCCTGAAGGGGAGATGATGCGGCGGGCGGGAGTGCCAGCACCTTCTGAAAACCCTTGGCTAAGCGGCCAGAGCGACGTTTGACACGTTTGAAGAGGCGGTGAAGGCACCTGTGTTCCCTCCTCTCACCCTGTCTGCCCCCGTTCCGCCTGTTTCCCCCCCTTTCCCCTCGTTTCTCCTTCCTCTCCCCCCTGCCACCTTTACCCCTCTCCCACTGACACTCGCAGGTTGACGAGCTATTCAAGGGGCCTGAGGGCGAGATGATGCGGAGGGAGTACCAGCACCTTCTCAAGACCCTTGGGCAAGCAGCCACAGCGACGTTTGAGAAGTTTGAACATGAGCAGCCAGGCCGTGAAGGCACATGTGTTCCCCCCTTGCTCATCTGTGCCCCTCTATCCCCCTCTGTGTCTGTCTGTCTTCCCCTTTCTCTACCCATCCGCCCCTGTATTCCTTCCCTTTCCCCTCTCTGCCTGCACAATCTCCCCACTGAAACTTGCAGGTGGACGAGCTATTTAAAGGACCTGAGGGCGAGATGATGCGGAGGGAGTACCAGCACCTTCTCAAGACCCTTGGGCAAGCAGCGAGGGCGACGTTTGAGAAGTTTGAAGAGGCTGTGAAGGCACCGCCGACGCCAGAGGAGGGCGGGCCGGGAGGAGGAGGGGGGTATCCCGCTCTTGCCAGCCCCACTGCCAGCGAGAGTGGGAGAGGAGGGTTTGGACGGAGTGAGCTGCGCGGAGGGGGGCTTCTGGGACGGCTGAAGAAGTGAGTGGAGGGTGGGTGGGGGAAATGATGGGGAGGGAGGGTTGGGTTTGGTTGGTTTGCGTGGAATGAAGGATGAAAGGGGGGAGGTTGGGGGGGTGGGTCGGCTGAAGAAGTGAGTGAGGAGTGGGGTGCTTGTGGAAAACGAAGGGGGTTAACATTTTACTCTTTATATTTTTAATTTATTTTTGTACTGGTTCTAGAACCCCTGTCTCTTCTAAATTCCTTGTTGGATCCAACAAGAGAAGAAGGGAGGGCTAGTAGAAAGTTGCCCAGTCAAAAATATATATATCTTCCCCTCCCTTACCCTGCCTGCCAGGAGGTGGAGGTGGAGTAAATGACTTGAATGATTGACACTCACTGCGACACCCCCCACCCTCCCCTCACTTCCTCCTCCCTCGCCCTGCCCCCACCTTCCACCCTGACAGAATGATGGACATGGGGACGACTCAGTAAGTCGCTCGCCCTTCCCTCCTCCATTTTCTTCCTCCAACATCCCCCTCTCACCCTCTGTCCCTCCTTCCTCGCCATTCCCTCCCCACCTGCCAGGATGATGCACAAGGGCGATGACTCAGCAAGTGAGGTGGCGTCGATGACGTCCACGTCAGCTGCTGCCGCCCACTCCACAGGGGACATCCACCCAATCACGAGCTACGTGGTCAACTACCTTCTTCTGCTCTGCAACAGGTGGGGATGGGAGGGGATGTTAAGGGGAGGGGGATGGGGTGGTGGAGGTTGTGTTAGTATGTGGTTGCTGCCCTACTTCCAAATACTCGACTGCGTGTTTTAGCACTCGAGTATGGTTAGCAGCGCCAGGAGCTCTGCACAGTCCGGTTCTCCTTTCATGCTCCATTCCCTGTCCTCTCCCCCCTCCCCGACCCTCCCGCACCCTCATGTGCACACGCAGCGAGCTGCCCTACTTCCAAATACTCGAGTGTGTGTTTGAGGATATGGTCAGCAACGCCAGCGACTCAGCAGCCAGTATCGTGACGCCACGTGTGCAGGGCCGGCTGGCATTCGCCGCCGCCCGCATCGTGGACGCACTAAAGACGAACCTCGGGCAGCGGGCGGTGATGCTACGAGACGAAACGCTGGCCGAGCTCTTTATGATGAACAACCTCGCATACGTGCTCACTAAGATTGATGCGTGAGTGTGTGGGTGTGTGAGAGTGTGTGTGTGTGAGTCGAGTGTTCGTGTGTATGTGTGTGTGCGAGTGCTAGACATGAGTATGAGTCGAGGCAAGTCACTGGCAGAGCTCTTTATGATGAACAACCTCGCATACGTGCTCACTAAGATTGATGCGTGAGTGTGTGGTTGTGTGTGGGTGGGACGTGCACGCCTGCCGGCGAGAGTGCAGGAAATTGGCATGAGTCGAGACGAGACGCTAGTTGAGATTTTTGTGATGAACAGCCTCGCCTGTGTGCTCAGTAAGATTGATGCGTGAGTGGAATGTTGTTGTTCAATATCAGTCAGCATAAGCTTCCGATGTATATCCATCTCGGGGTGAACCGCTCGAAATAACTTTGAGAATGTGAGGGATACATGTGGAATGACTTTTGAGTCGACTCAAAAGCTTCTGATGTGATGTGGAATGTGATGGGTACATGTGGGATGTGATGGGCACATGTGGAATGTGATGGGTACATGTGGGATGTGATGGGTACATGTGGGATGTGATGGGTACATGTGGAATGTGATGGGTACATGCGGAATGTGATGGGTACATGTGGAATGTGATGGGTACATGTGGAATGTGATGGGTACATGTGGGATGTGATGGGTACATGTGGGATGTGATGGGTACATGTGGAATGTGATGGGTACATGCGGAATGTGATGGGTACATGTGGAATGTGATGGGTACATGCGGAATGTGATGGGTACATGTGGAATGTGATGGGTACATGTGGAATGTGATGGGTACATGTGGGATGTGATGGGTACATGTGGAATGTGATGGGTACATGTAGAATGTGATGGGTACATGTGGGATGTGAGGGGTACTTATGGAATGCCAGCATGGGATGCGTGATGCGAGGGGCGCGTGATGCGGAGACATGACAGCCTGGCTTTTGAGACGTCTCAAAAGACATGACAGCCTGGCGGGGCTCTTCATAAGTAGGTTGATGCGTGGGGTGCTCACTTCACTAAGGTTGATGTGCTCACTTCACTAAGGTTGATGTGCTCACTTCACTAAGGTTGATGTGCTCACTTCACTAAGGTTGATGTGCTCACTTCACTAAGGTTGATGTGCTCACTTCACTAATGTTGATGTGCTCACTTCACTAAGGTTGATGTGCTCACTTCACTAAGGTTGATGTGCTCACTTCACTAAGGTTGATGTTCTCACTTCACTAAGGTTGATGTGCTCACTTCACTAATGTTGATGTGCTCACTTCACTAAGGTTGATGTGCTCACTTCACTAAGGTTGATGTGCACACACACATGCACATATACCCTTCTCTTTGCCCCTGCTGCCTTGCCTCTTCTGCCGATCTTCCAGGTCTGATGCCGGGCGGCTGCTTGGTACGGCATGGATCGGCACATATGGAGCGATGGTGGACAATCACAGGGACAAATTTATCATGCACACACTCGCCAAGGTACCCACTAATCAGAGTAGGGTCACCCCATTTTGGACCTGTCTTGTGAGATGACCCCCTACTCTCCGTTTCTCTCTCCTCTCCACTCTTTGTTGCTCACCTGCTCCCTCTGCCCCCTCTCCTTTCTCTGCCCCTCGCTCGCTCGCCCCCCGTCCCACTTCAGCATGGTACTTTCCCGTCCCCTTCACTGCTCCCCGTGTTACCACCTACCCCTTCTCATTCTCTCCCTCCTATATCCCTTGCTTCCCATCCCTCAATCCCCGTCCCCCCCTTCCTCTGCTCTCTCCTTGTCTGTTCAGCTCGGTGTGGTGTTCCTCGACTCTTCTTACTCTTCCCTTCACTGCTCCGTTTCCCATCTGACCCCGCTCCTGCCCTACCTCCCCTTCCCCATCCCCTCCCCTCCCCTTCCCCATCCCCTCCCCTCCCCTCCCCTCCCCGTCCCCATTTCCTTACCTCCCTCCCCCTCTCCTCCCCTCCCCTCCCCTCCCCTTCCCCATTCCCTTACGTCCCCTCCCCTCTCCTCCCCTCCCCTCCCCTCCCCTTCCCCATTCCCTTACCTCCCCTCCCCTCTCCTCCCCTCCCCTCCCCTCCCCTTCCCCATTCCCTTACCTCCCCTCCCCTCTCCTCCCCTCCCCTCCCCTCCCCTTCCCCATTTCCTTACCTCCCCTCCCCTCTCCTCCCCTCCCCTCCCCTCCCCTCCCCTCCCCTCCCCTTCCCCATTCCCTTACGTCCCCTCCCCTCTCCTCCCCTCCCCTCCCCTCCCCTTCCCCATTCCCTTACCTCCCCTCCCCTCTCCTCCCCTCCCCTCCCCTCCCCTTCCTCATTTCCTTACCTCCCCTCCCCTCTCCTCCCCTCCCCTTCCCCATTCCCTTACGTCCCCTCCCCTCCCCTCCCCTTCCCCATTCCCTTACGTCCCCTCCCCTCCCCTTCCCCATTCCCTTACCTCCCCTCCCCTCTCCTCCCCTCCCCTCCCCTCCCCTCCCCTCCCCTCGCCTCCCCTCCCCTCCCCTCGCCTCCCCTCCCCTCCCCTCCCCTCCCCTCGCCTCCCCTCCCTCCCCTCCCCTCCCCTACCCTCCCCTCCCCTCCCCTCCCCTCCCCTCCCCTCCCCTCCCCTCCCCTCCCCTACCCTCCCCTACCCTCCCCTCCCCTCCCCTCCCCTCCCCTCGCCTCCCCTCCCCTCCCCTCCCCTCCCCTCCCCTACCCTCCCCTCCCCTCCCCTCCCCTCCCCTCCCCTCGCCTCCCCTCCCCTCCCCTCCCCTCCCCTACCCTCCCCTACCCTCCCCTCCCCTCCCCTCCCTACCCTCCCCTCCCCTCCCCTCCCCTACCCTCTCCTCGACTCCCCTCCCCTCTCCTCTCCTCCCCTCCCCTCCCCTCCCCTCCCCTCCCCTCCCCTCCCCTCCCCTCCCCTCCCCTCCCCTCCCCTACCCTCCCCTCGCCTCCCCTCGCCTCCCCTCGCCTCCCCTCGCCTCCCCGCCCCCCTCCCTGCATCGCAGTTCGACGTGGTGTTCTCCTCGGATGACCGCCTCGACTCCGCCTCCTTATCCGCCCTTCGCAGCTTCCTGTTTCCCCCTCAACCCTCTCCCGCTTTTCCTCCCCTCCCCTCCCCTCCCCTCCCCGCCCCCCTTCCTGCATCGCAGTTCGACGTGGTGTTCTCCTCGGATGACCGCCTCGACTCCGCCTCCCTCGTCAAGCGGTGAGTGCTTGGTTCAAGAGTTGCGTGCGTCACGTCGTTCTGATCAAATCAGCCCCTAGACGTGTTCAAGACTTGCTCTCTTGACCTTGTCTGTCTATGCTGTTCTAGTGCACTTCTCAACTGTACCTTCCGTTTGGCATGCATATGGGGTATTACGACTTGCAATGCCCTCAACCCCCGTTCCTTCCTCCCATCTCCACCGCTCTCTCCCTCCCTTCCAGCCTCAAGACGTTCAACATCATTCTCGAGAAAATGAGGCAGCGCCACATGGCATGGACCAACACCAACCATGCCTTGCCCTGCCTTATCCCTCTGCACCCATCTCCACCTCCCCCTCTCCTTCAGTCTCAAGACGTTCAACATCATCCTGGAGCAAATGAGGCAGCGCCACATGGCATGGACCATCACCAATCGCGAGCTGCGCGCGCACGTCAAGGCCAAGACCCTCTCGGGCCTGCTGGACAAATACCGCGAGTTCATCATCCGACACGGGTGAGGGAGGGGTTGTCAGGGTCAGGTCAGGGTTTCCTCTCTAGCAGTAGCGGTGTGGTGTGTGAGTGGTTGATCCTCTTCTGGCAACTGGAATCACATGGCACGTCAAGGCCAAGACCCTCAAGGCCAAGACCCTCAAGGCCAAGACCCTCAAGGCCAAGACCCTCAAGGCCAAGACCCTCAAGGCCAAGACCCTCAAGGCCAAGACCCTCAAGGCCAAGACCCTCAAGGCCAAGACCCTCAAGGCCAAGACCCTCAAGGCCAAGACCCTCAAGGCCAAGACCCTCAAGGCCTGCTGGACAAACACCGCGAGTTCATCATCCGACACGGGTGAGTGATGGGGGAAAGGGGGGAGGGGGGGGGGCATGCATGGCATGTCAAGGCCAAGACCCTCTCAGGCCTGCTGGACAAATACCGCAAGTTCATCATCCGACACGGGTAGGTTGTCATGTCAGAATCTGGGCTGTCACTTTCTGGTCATTGATATGGGTCCCTGGTGCCAGGCAATGGCACGTGTAGGCCAAGACGCTCTCAGGCTCACTCGACAAACACCGTGAATTCATCGTTTGACATGGGTGAGGGAGGGAGGCTTGTCTCAGTTGCTCTTGCTATGCCCTGCTCTGCTCTGCTCTCTGCTCTGCTCTGCTCTGCTCTGCTCTCTGCTCTGCTCTCTGCTCTGCTCTGCTCTGCTCTGCTCTCTGCTCTGCTCTGCTCTGCTCTCTGCTCTCTGCTCTGCTCTGCTCTGCTCTGCTCTGCTCTGCTCTGCTCTGCTCTGCTCTGCTCTGCTCTGCTCTGCTCTGCTCTGCTCTGCTCTGCTCTGCTCTGCTCTGCTCTGCTCTGCTCTGCTCTGCTCTCTGCTCTGCTCTGCTCTGCTCTGCTCTGCTCTGCTCTGCTCTGCTCTCTGCTCTCTGCTCTGCTCTGCTCTGCTCTCTGCTCTGCTCTGCTCTGCTCTGCTCTGCTCTCTGCTCTGCTCTGCTCTGCTCTCTGCTCTGCTCTGCTCTGCTCTCTGCTCTCTGCTCTTGTGCTGCGCCTTCCCTTGGGCGTACAAGTGCTGGCATGGGAGGAAGTGGGCTGGTTCCATCCAACTTTTGCTTTCTTCCGCTCTCGCCCAACACTCTTCCTCTCCCTCTCCAACTCACTCCTTACCTTCACCTTCTCATTCCCTCCCTCTGCAGCAACATTCTGCGCAACCAGCGGTCACTGGACGTGCGGGTGCTGGCGTGTGAAGAGGTGGAGACGATGCTTGCAGATTCCTTCAGCAGCGGTCCCGTGGGGAAGCACAAGTGAGGGTGGTGATCTGTATTGAGGGGGAAAGCAGGAGCGGTGGGATGGTGTTTTGGGAAGGAGATGGGGGTCAGGGTGACCAGTCCTGGCGTGTGAAGAGGTGGAGACGATGCTGGCAGATTCATTCAGCACAGACCCGTGTGGAAGCACAAGGGAGAGGCTTGTGCTAAGGGGTGGGAGGGGGGATGGTGGGGAGGAGAGGAGATAGGGGTCAGTGCTGGCGTGTGAGGGGGTGGAGACGATGCTGGCAGGCTCCCTCAGCAGCGGTCCTGTGGGGAAACACAAGTGAGGGTGGTGCGTGTGTTTGTAGAGGGGGGGGGCGAGTTGGGAAGGAGATGGGGGTCAGGGAGACCAGTGCTGGCGTGTGAGGAGGTGGAGACGATGCTGGCAGGCTCCCTCAGCAGCGGTCCCGTGGGGAAACACAAGTGACGCAAGGGGAGGGGGGTGCTAAGATGGTAGGAAGGAAGCATGATGGAGCATCAGTGAAAGCGTGGTGGGAGAGGGTTGAGAAGGGGGGAAGGGGGGGGGAGTGGGGTGGGGAGAGATGTGGAGGAGATGAGATGGCACACCATGATGGCGAAAGTCGGGTCTCTGGGACAACGACGTGCCAAGAGCGTGCCTAGGAGTCCACTTAAGGGCATGGTATGGAACAAAAGGCCTTGCGGTCAAGAGTACAGACACGCTGAAGTGCTTGGCAGGAGTGGTAAAAAACTTTTGTGAGAATTCTGGGTCTAGGTTAAATGTGGTAGTTTCTGAGGTGCCTGAGTGTTTGCACGATGAGTTAGTTCGTGGGAGGCTTGTGTGGGGTATACTCACCCATTTATCACTATGCTGGTAGCTAATGATCAGTACAGCAATGAGAGTGGCATGGATGGAATTGGGTCTCTGCAAAGGTAGATGGACAGCACATCAGCAACTTATGGTTGCGGAAAGGTACTGACTGATTTTCCATCCCAACAGCGTCCATGTGCCCATTTGTGCAAGACATGGTGAACATCATGCATCATATGTAAAACTCTGGATGTGGATGTGGGTAACTCGGCAAACCTGTTTTAACATGGCTGTCGTGTTCAAATTCTGGTGTGCTACCTAATACATTTACCGCGATTCCTATATCGAATTGTCATCCACATAAGTCTTCGAGTCGACCTCGCGAAGCCACGTCAACACTCGAGCCAGCTCCAGCAAAGCTGGGAACTGGGCTCACTGCTCCCTTGATCACCTTGCACGTGGTCCCCGTTTCCAGCCGCGCAGCGGCGAAATGAGTCAGCATAACCTTACCCCATCACACCACATCCCTCCATCGGGCCGCAAATTTTCGCGTCGCGCTGAAATTGTGTATCACAGCCTCCAGTTTCCAGATCGACACTTTCGCTTGGCCATCGTGCGGCGTTAATTCGCCAGAAAATTTCGCTTACGACGCGATTGGTGGTTCTGCAACCCAGGTTGGTTCCCTTCAGGTCGGCGAATTATCGGCGCCTGGCGCACTGCTGGTTCAGATTTGTTCGCAAATTCCCACATGGCAGCAGCACCAGCCACCGCCACAAGAAATGGCATGTCAGCCAATGGCTGGTCAGTCGGTCATCCTCGTCCCTCTCGTTCATCGCTGCTCGTCTTTCATTTGCTCTTTCCGCTCCTGGTCCGTTTCTGATCACATGTCGTGTTGATGGTATATGCTTCGGCTTCACCTGATCACAACGCAAAATTGCTCCCACGATTTCATAAGGCCAGACCATCCGGTCCTTTTTCAAACTCTCAACCTAGATAGTGCACGCACGTTCCGCAAGGCTCTCTTCGTCGCTTCAATCGAGTTGCTTTCGCGTCGTTTGGTAGCCTTCGACCAATCTAATTTAAGTAACTCCTCCTTTGCTACTGCTGTCGACGAACGTACCCGACGTGAAGTGTGAACATTTGTAGCTGGAAGGAGCTTGCGTCGCGTACCGCGGAGGTCTTACCTCGACAGAAACGAAGCGGACGGCCTTGCGAAACGGAAACGGGACGTAGTCAAAACGTGGATCGAATCTTCCCAGGATTCCGGAAGCGAATCGCGGAAGGGGTTGCAAGTTACACGTCACACGTCGATCCGGCAGTGAATCCACGTTCGCTGCGACTGCACTGAACGTCGCAGCGCTTGGAGCACCAGAGTGAAACACCTTAGATAACTGCCTCCGTACTTCACCTCGTGGCCATGTTTAATTCCTCGTAAGCTCGCATTCTGCCTAAGCCGAAGCGTTGAGGCATCAGTCAAGAAGGGCAGCAACGTATATTATCTCTAACCACTTGTGAGAAATTTAGTTTTCTTACGACACCCGTTCATCGAAATTATCCCCATTATAGCCATGGCTGTCCGGGTCAACGTTTCCTCGGTCGCGCACATGCGCGGAACACACTCCGCAGCACTCCCCGCGCCCGTCGTCGCCTGTCGTTCCGCGCCTCCAGCGGCTCAAGGTTCCGTCTGTGTTTCCGCGCTCGGTAGCACCCCCCGGATGCCCGGAGTTGACGTTTGCTCGTTCTCCGCTAGCTTCTCCAGTCGGCTAACCGTCACAGCCTCACCGGCCGCCGTCAACTTCGTCGTCTTCTCAAATCTGGATCGCGACATCGCCGTCAGTTCCGGCGCGAATCCCGCCGGTAACTCCGGCAAAAGCTGGCGGAAGGACGGGGGCCACCGCGGAACCACTCTCCGCGCGCAAGCCGCCATCCTTGCGCCGCCGCCGCCCGTCGCGGAAGAGCCAGAAGCGATGACGGACACGGGCCGAGGAGGGGGAGACGGCGGATCGTTCAGGGGCGGAGACGGCGAAGACGGCGGAAACAACGGGGACGGGCGGTCGGGCGGAAGCGGAGGAGGCGGAGGAGGCGGGGGAGACGCTGGCGGAGATGAGAGCGGAAGGGGCAGAGATTTCGGCGCGCTATTGGGATGGCCGCGCGTCGAGGCGGTTCTGCTGCGGAAGGGCTTAACGCTTCCAGAAGATATGCTGCTACACGCACGGGAGCACGGTATATCGGAAGTGATTCTACAGAGGTTCATGGACCTGCAGAACTCGTCTCTGGGCCCCGCTATAAGCAACTGCGCGGCGCTTCGTAACCGGCTCTTGATGGACCCTTCGTTCCTGTTCAAAGTTTTTACGGAGGTGAGTAACTCGATCGAGTCGGGTACGCAAGTTGCATGGTTAACGGAGGTGCCTGTTGGAGGTCAATTGCGAACTCGCGTTCGTCATTCGCTGTTTCACTCGACTTACCACATCCTACTGACATTTTCGCGAATGTTTTGTTTTTGTCAGATCGCCATCGACTGCGCGTGCGCGACGTTCGCGGAGGTGCAGAAGCGAGGCGACGATTTCTGGAAGGAGTTCGACCTCTACCTCTCGGATATGCTCGTCGGAATCATTATGGGCGGCGCCGTCGTGGGCTCGCTCGCGCCAGCCGCGAGATTCGCCACGTCAGCAGCTGGTGGACGGTTGCCACGCATCTTGCCACGTGGGGTTTCTGCTGCGCTCTCGGCGCTCCCTAGCAGGTCAGAACAGTGAACCGTTAAGGTTAATGAAACCCTTATTCCATTACAGCTTTGATCCACTGTGTACATTTTGTCATGTATGGCTGATTCTTACTTTCCTTCCCTTCTTATGTCCCGTTGTCGCCCTCCCCTCCCTCTTCTCAATAACAGTGTGTTTGAGGCATCCCTTCCGGGTCGAAAGTTCTCGGCTGCCCAACGAACTGTCACCCTCTTCGTCAAGGTGATAAACCTGCCCGCGTATCCCAACCCAAAACTTTCTCGCCCAAAGCCCTTCATTCTCTCCCTCGTCCATCAATTCCCTCGCTGCCCTGCCAGGGACACGTTTGGTAACTTAAAAGGTCTAAACTTTGCTACATGGCCATCAAACTTACAGCCGTAGTTTCTTCTTCCCCCAACACCTCCAATCGTCCTCAGCTTGCCTTCCAAAAATTGTCCTCTCCTCATCCACCTCCGTCCCCTCCTCTCCTTCCTTTCCCTGCTTCCTCCCTCTGTTCACAATGGCAGGGCGTTGAGTATGGAGGGTTTGGCTTCGCATCGGGCCTTCTGGGTCAGGGGATCGCTAACGGCATGATGACCCTGAAGAGGTACGCTGTGGTTCCGTTTTTAAGAGGTAGCAAATGCCTGTTACAACCACACGAGGCACTGTTCACTCGGAGGTGTTGACAATGCTCGTGTTAGTAGCTCCTCATATGCTCGTGTTAAAAGAATGATCCTCCATTGCTCCAAAGTTTATCCCATGCATCCTACCTGAACATTCAATGTAAACTTGCATACTCTATTCAACCTCCAGCATAATTTTGCCAGTATTTCCCTTCTTTCCTCCCCTTGTTTCAGAAGTGTGCGTCAGAAGGGCGATGAGCCTGCTCATACAAAGGACAGCCACGTCAAACCACCACCGCTCTTCAAAACAGCCCTCCTCTGGGGAGCATTCATGGCAGTTTCCTCCAACCCCAGGTACCAGGTCGTCACAGGTTTGGAGAGGCTGGTTGATGGCTCGACGGTGGCTCGGAGCCTGCCATGGCTATCAGGCTCGTTTACAGTGGCTGTGAGGTTTGCTAATAACATCTATGGCAGCAGTCAGTTTGTGGATTGGGCGCGGATGGCAGGAGTGCAGTGATGCAGGGATGCAAACTTGTCAGCAGGTTGCTTGGAAGGGCTCTTGTATACGGTATCAGGGAACCAAGCACACTTCGTGCTGGAGGGGGAGACTTGGTGATGAGTTGGAAGGAAGCAACCCTTACGGCTGGTATCACTCTCGCATGGATGGATCACTCTCAGCATCAGTTTTGTAGAATTGGTGTAGGTTGGCAACTTTTGCAAAATAATTCACTAGGCTGCGTTTTGTAACAAATATGGAAGACATTGATCCGTGATATATCTATAAATATGTCTAGTTGACGAATGTAGTTGACAGTTCTCCCATAGAATAAAATATGTGAACCCACATTAGCACAAACTTGACCCCATAACGAGATACGTGATGCAGCCTCAACCGTCCTGCTCCTGATCTCAGTACGACGTGGCGCCCTGTGAAAGGAGCATAGTGCTTTCCCGAAACATCACTTGTCAGAACCAATTGTGGCTGTCCTTTCTCTGAGAGCAGCAGCAGTGGTTGGCTACTCCCCCGCGCTGCGAACCCATTCCGCGCACGTCGTGGATGTCAAGCTAGCAGGCGCTGGAGCGGAATGATGCGCGCAGCGCATACATTGCAATGCGCGCGCGTCAAGGTTCTCCACGTCGATCGGTACCAAAGAGAGACCTGGGAAATGATCATATTAGGGCCGAACAGTGCCAGAGAGGTGATCGAAGTAGGGCTGAAAAATATCGACCGTAGGATTTCGACCCGGAGCTGCCCGCACGGCTGGGCGAACAAGCCGAGCCGTGAGTTAAAGAGAATTGCTGAAGAAACAGAAATGCGTGTAAAACTTATTCAATAAGGGTTTTGACCGCCGTCAACTACAGCGCGCGCGTCGCCTTGTTCTGGAATTAAAATTCGGCGTGTCAAATCGTGAGTACGTAACAACATATTATATTATGGGTGATACATATCACCAACACGATCGAAAACGCACAGTAAAAAAAATACCCATTCGGAAACGGATGCGCCTCGGGAGGCATCAGCCCTGAATACCAGGAAGGTCCCCTTTTTTAGAGTTGATCCATCCCGGAAATGTATCCAGATTCCCTGTGGGTTTTAGTTTTTTTTGCTGCCCTAAGAGTTCCCAGCAGAGTCGGCTCGCTAAAAGACACGCGAGCGAAAATGCTTGCCAGTGCATGCCACTAGTAACAGAATTACGTGCAACAAACGAGACCTCTTTGTTAATATCGTTTTTTGCAGCGGTTTGGTAGTTTTCGGGCCTCTTGGTCCTTGAACGATCACCCCTCTGGCACTGTTCGGCCCCTGCATGATCTTTTCCCGAGAGAGGTTTGGCCCCTCAACCAACGCGGTTTGGGGGAATTGAGGGGAATGCGAAGCGAAGCTGATGGTTGGTGCAGATCAGTGTGGCCAAAGTGTGGGAGGATGGAGGAACGGGAGACGACAATCATGGTTGACGAGGATGGAGGGTTCCAAATTGAACACTTTCTCGAAAGTACTGTTTTCAATTCCTAGGAACACATTTTAGATATTGGGAACCCCTCCCTGCCGTATGTGAAATATGGAGTCTGTACACTTTGAACTTTCCGATTTACGGAAAATGGACGAGAGAAGCCAAAAGAAAACATTCGGGTGGGAAAACTAAGCATTACCACCAGTGGGATGGTGGGTGGTATGGAACGGATGTGAGATAACATGTCGAGGAGAATGACGGGCACAGAACCGACAAATGTAAGCATCTCACCTGGAAAACCTCACTTTCCGCACTCTCTCTCTCACACCTTGCCTTGAAAGCACCCCCTCCTGCCTCTGTTTTCTCCACATCACAAACAACCACTGTCATTCCACAAAATGAGAAAATTAGAAGAGGAGGAGAGCAGAGAGGAGTTCGAGCAGCACGCATACACGCACGGACCCAATCACTGGCAGGCTGATAGGTTCTGCTCTTTTGGGCAGGTCCAGTGAAAGTAGGTGGAGAGTGTTGTCTCGTTGCGGAAGCCAGCAGGGTATGAGCTGGATGCCACGCCAATAGTTGCGGCAACTCGAGGCGTTGTGCCACTGGACTGGAGTGTTCATTAAAAACGGGACGGAGTCTCCTAACCTAACCACTAGTTCAAAACCAATGCGATTTCAGCACATTTGTTAGGTCACTCTCCGCTGTAGTTTCCTTCCTTGGCTCCTCCTTAGTGTTCGCCTGTGCGTAGACAGTGAGCAATTTGCTAACTTTCTCGCGAAACCGTAGACCTAGTTTGCTGTGCCAGTACATAAGAGACTAGCTGGAGTCGCGTCGCCTGACGATCTTGTCGAGCTGTATTTATGAAGCTACACTTACAGTTCACGTGCGTCTAAAACTGGCTGATAGCAGTCAATCCGCAAACGCTTCACTCCAAACCGGTCCCTAAGAATATCGAACTACTAGCTGTCAAGCACTTGACGATCTTGTCGTGCTTCGTTGCAGAACTGTTAGCGGGGTCACTAATTGCCCGCTTTACGATCGGCCTTCCATTTCTGTTCCCTCTTTCATTACAATAGAAGCGTACCGCGCAATGGCGCTTTCGGCCCTCCTAAGCTTTCCTAGTTCTCACAGTTACGGCTCCTAGCAGAACCGTTTTGAGTCGTCTCACTCTAGTCAGCCACGGGTTGGCAAGTGTCTTGAGTCATTCCAGTAGCTTACGTCCTCTCTTTCCCACCGTCTAGTATCCGTTCCGATAATTATTTCAAGAGGCAGCTTCCCACTAACGATAGTATCAACGCTCTGCCTGAAAAATACACTCAATTTATTCAACGTTCTGTTGTTAAAAAGAATAGATATTTGTTGGGTTGTGGTAACCAGATGGCCACCAGTCGGCAACGTGGTTACGTTCAACCACTGTCAGGCGGAGAGGAGCAAGGCGGGCCCATGTCCCCCTACGCGCAGCCCCGCCGAATGGCCCCCGGCGGAGGGGGAGGAGGGGGGGACGGTCCCCCCGCGCGCAACCCCGGCCGCGGACGCCGCGTAGCTGGCGGCGGCGGCGGCGCGCCTCAGGCGCAATTCACGCGGATTAACTCGATGATCTACCAGCCGTCTCCACAGCAAGAAGAACAACCGGCAGAGCCCCGTTATAAGCGCACTATGTCTATGGTCGCCCCCGCGCCGAACAACAAAACCCTTCCGCGCGGAGTTAGAGCAGCAGGCGCGGGGGGGGCGCATGCAGGAGGGCCAGGCATGGGCGCGGGGAGGGGCGGGCGGGGGAAGATTCCCCACTCGTCTTCCGTCGGCGGACCGGACGGCGGAATGCGCAGGGGGGTGGGCGCGGGGGTGGAAGACCCCTTGGCGGATCAATTCGGGCGGAGCATGACGGTCGGAAATAAAGCGCCCACTCCGCGCGGACCTGGTGCGGGGAGAGGCGCTGGCGGAGGCGGGCAGTTTGGCGGCGGAGAGCCGGAGATCGGACGGTCGTTGACTGCCACTGACGGCCGGCACCGGTCGCCGTTAAGACAGAACCCGCACGCGACGGGGGGAATGGGCGTTGGGGGGATGATCACCCCGCGGAGGACCCAGGCGCAGCAGATGGTGGCGGGCGGAGGGCGCGGCGGAATGGGCGGAATGGGGGGAATGGGGGCGGGTCCGGGCAGTCCGTACCGCCAACGCGCGGGGAGCGGGTTTTCGCAAGGCGGGTACATGGAGGGCGGCGGAGAGTACACCGACGAAAGCGACGGGATGTACGGCGAAGACGGTTACCACCAGAACATGCAACGGTCGCGATCCACCGGCTTGGGGATGATGGGCGCAGGCGGGCGCATGGCGGGCGGGGGAATGGCCATGGGGGGAATGGGCGGCGGAATGCCCCCGCATGCGCCTGGCGGAAGGGGAATGGGAGGAGGGCGCGTGAGCATGGGGGAAGAGCACTACTATACGTCGGACGCGTCGGAAGGGGGGGTCGGCGGGGGAGCGTATCCGCGCAGCCGGTCGGTCAATCCGCGCTTAGAGGGCGCGGGGGACGCAGGGGGGATGGCGCCGCAGGGGAAGGCGGGGAAGGCGGAGGTGGACCCGTCGGAACTCCCCATGCTTCCCCCTCCGGGCAGCCCGCAAGTTGTGCAGGCAAGAGCTCTCGCGCACTTACTCTTCCCTTGTCACTGCATATAAAATCTTCTCTCCCTCGTCTCTTTCCTCCGGGCAACCCGCACCCGCAAGTTGTCCAGGTACGAGCTCTTGCTTTTACCCTCTCATATCCTCTCCTTTCCTCTCTATAGTCATTTCTACTGTTGCCTCCTATTCCCCTGCCTGTCTTCTTTCCGCTTTTTTATAGTTATCTTTCTGATCGCCTGCTTCTCGTTCTTTCTCTTTCCCCCTCGCGCACTCGCGCACTCGCACAAACCACGCTTGACGATCTTCTATCTCGATTTGACTATACTAGTTGGGAAACGGATATTGAGGTTTTTTTTTTTTTTTTTTTTTTTTTTTTTTCTGCAAGTTTGATATCCCTGGTTAGTTCGGAGCCCAAAACGTGGCAAGAGAGTGCTTTCGCACGAACGACGAAGAAAAAAGTTAGCGGGCAGTCTGTTGCGAAATTAAGAAAAGCCTGTTAGAACAAACAAAGTTCTATGCGGCAAAAAAGTAGTTGCGAAACAAATACTCGCGGGATGCCACAACGAACTCAGTTGCGAACAAAGCTGCTTTCGCGAAGCAAGCTAAAGATTCTCAGACGGAAAGAACCCTAGTTGGTTGCAGACCTTTGCGAGTTTCGCGAGGTTGGGTCTTTCCACTTCGCGCAACCTCATCAGTCACGGCCTCATTGGTTACAGTCACGGCCTCATTGGTTACAGGCACGCAACGTTTCGCGTCGCTTTCGTTAAGACTCCATAACGAACAATTGGTTTCTTGCTCGCCCTTGCGCCGCGAGTTGCTCATACAAATGCCGAACCTGCCAATTCAGCCCATCCCTCTCCCCCCTCCCAGGCACACCCACCCAGCCACCAGCGCCCACACTGCTCTTAGGTTCTAAAAGCCCCTCACAATCCCTCTTTCCGTCTCACTTCTTTGGTCCTAGCAGGGCATTCAGAGCGTCTCACTCCCTTTCCCCCAATCCCTCTTTCCCTCCCCAATCCCCCACCCCTCTCCTCCCCCTTTCCCCTCCACCTCTCTCCTTCGCTTCTCCTGTTCTCCCGTCCTCCTCTCCCTTCTCTCCTCTCCTCCCGTTTTCGCCCCTTCACCTCCCCCCCACCAGTGTCAGCGTTGCTCTCAGCCATTGGAAGTCCCAGCAGCGTTCCCGCCGGCCAAGAAGGGCATTCAGAAGCTGCGCTGCAGCAAGTGCATGCGCGTCTCACTCCCTCTCTCCTCCCTCTCTCCCAACCCCTCCCTCTCCTCTCCCCTCTCCATCCCTCTTTTTCCCTTCTCCTCTCCCCTCTCTCCCATCCTCCCCTGTTCGCCCCTTCACCTCACCCCCACCAGTGTCAGCGCTGCTCCCAGCTTCTAGAAGTCCCAGCAGCACTCCCCCCGGCCAAGAAGGGCATTCAGAAGCTTCGCTGCGGCAAGTGCATGCGCGTCTCACGCTTCCGAGTCAACCCAGCAGACCCACGCACTGCTGCCGCTGCTGCTGCTGCCGGCGGGGTTAGCGGCGGGGAGGGGTTTTCAGATAACCCTGACGTGGCGGATAGCGGGAGTGAGTATCAGCAGAATGATTATATGCAGCAGCAGCAGCCTCCCAGGTCTCCTAGGCTGCTGCAAGGGTTGCCTAGCGGGGGAGGGTTTGGGAGAGGCATGGGGGGAGGGATGGGGGGAGGGGGAGGCGGAGGGGGAGCGCCCCCGCTTTCTCCTCGCATGCAGCGTCCCGGTGGGGGGTTTGGCGGTCAGCAGATGCACAATCCAGGTCAGCACGGGCGCACGCCGTCCAACGCGGATTCGGAGAGCACTGTTGTGATTCGCCAGGAGTCGGCCGGGCGGCACGCGGCCGGCAGTTTCTACCACCACATGCGGCCAGAATCAGAATCGGATCTTAGCTCCCCTGTGAGCGGAGCAGAGGGGTATGGGGGCGGAAGGGGAGGCGGAAGAGGGGGAGGCGGAGGGAGAGGGGGAGGGGTGAGCGGGTCAAGAAGGATGATCTATCAGCGACAGAGCAGCTTTGAATCTGGAGACATGTCTTCCAGTGGAGGCATGCCGAGTCCTTCCCCCCGAGGGCCGAGGGAGGGGGGTGGCATGGGGGGGGGAGGGGGGAGTGGGGGGGAGGAGCGAGCAACGTACGCGCGGAGAGTGATTGTGAATGGGGAGCCAATTCGGGATGACTATGTTTCTGTGGTGGAGCAACGAGCAGGGAACATTCACCCGGGCAATTACTGGTGAGTGCAGGAATTCAGAAAATCAATTAGTTTCTTGCATGCTTTTAAATCTTGCCTTTTCTCCCCTCCCCCTCCCCCCCCTCCCATTCCCCCTCCCCCCACTCCTCTTCCCCCCCTTTCCTCTCCTTTTTTTCGCTCTCCACTTTAACGTATTATGAAGCATCTGTTTTCCCAATTGCTTGCCTCTGCATGTCTGTGTTACGCCTTCCTGCCGTTTTGCTTTACATATTCCAAGGAAAGTGACATAAGTCTGCTTTGATTTCTAATTCTCCTGGGTGTGGGAATGATGCTGCTGCAGGTACGACCAGGTCGCAGGGTTCTGGGGCGAGATGGGCGGCCCATGCCTCGGCATCATCCCAGTGAGTGCCAGGAGAGCTGTGCTTGATGCATGCTGCCCCCATGCATGCTTTGAGAACTTGCATGCTGATGGTGTACTGAGTCTGGGTTCTGGGTCGAGATGGGCGGCCAATGCCTCGGCATCATCCCAGTGAGTGCGAGGAGTGCTGCTCATGCATACCCTATGCATGCTGCTCCCCATGCATACATCATGCATGCTTCCCACGCATACCCCCACGCATACCCCCATGCATACCCCATGCACACGCCATGCATCCTCCCCATACATAACCCATGCGTTCTCCCCATGCATACCCCATGCGTGCACCACGCATGCTACATATAAAACCCCCGCTGCATGCTACCCATGCATAACCCACGTATGCTACCCATGCACGCCCCATGGACCTCCCATCTCTCCAGAAAAATGTTCGAGCCGTTCCCTCTTGCGTCTTCCTCCCAAGTCTCACCCACCTATGCATTTCCATGTCCTGCCAATTCCCCACGCCTTTTTCCACGGAGCTTCCTTGATCCACTTTCTTGTCTGCCCCCTTTCTTGTTGAACCATCTCCTTGACCTCCTACAACCCCATCTTCCTGGAACCTTCCACCTTGCCTTTCCTGAGAGATTATGTTTGGGACATGGGCTCATAACGAGGCAACTGGAAGCCCTCGAATTCCATTTCTCTCCTCATTCCACTTCTGTTTATTCCCTTCCCTCCACTGCCTGTGTGCGTTCTATTTGAGCAGCCGGGTATTGAGTTTGGGACGCCGATCCCGGTGGACTGTGCGGGAGGCGCGACGCGGGTGTATGTGAACGGGAGGGAGCTGCACAAGAAGGACCTGGATCGGCTCATGAAGAGAGGGCTACCATCGAAGCCCAACATGTCGTACCGAGTGGAGATCAATGGGAGCGTGTATGATGAGGAGACGGGTGACTACCTCCTCAGCCTGGGGAAGCTCGCACCCTCGTGAGTACCTTTTTGTGTGTTTGTTTTTCCTTGATTTACACATATGGGTGGTTGTAGAATCTTAGGTAGAGATGGGAGAGAGAGTGGGGGCTTTCCAGGAGCATGTGGGGTGGAAAAGGGGCAGTGGGTGGAAAAGGTGCTGAATGGGTGTGTCACAAGATAGAGTGTGTGATGGATAAGAGCCATCAAAACTTGTGTAATGTATGTCTTTTTGGCGCCATGTTATGTGTCGCAGGCTGGAAACAAGGAAGCGGGGTGGCGGCATGAAGGTCCCTGAATCTAACTGACGAGCTAGTTAGTCTCTGAAGGTTCATGACAAAAGTCTCGGTGCCAAAACACTCTGGTTAAGGTCTATAAATTGTTAATGATTCCGTAGGCCACTATGGTAGCATGGCATAGTGTGACACTGCCCTCTTCTGTCAGCCAATTGGGTCTCAGGCTCATCTCAAGGGCCTGTGTCACTCCTGAAGGCGGTATGGATGGTTTCGCGTCTTTTTCTCTAACCCTCTGCATGTTACAAAGTGATTCATAATGTACACAGGAGTGCTAAGCAATAGTTTGAACATTTCTTGCAGACTCTGTCTGAAATGGCACAGCCTTTGCCAAAGAGATAGCATCTCTTGCCACCTTGACATGACTCGCCATATTGGTTTCAGCGAAGTTATGTGTTGGCGAAACCAGCCTTGAAGAGCAGGATCGCATGGCCCTTGAGAAAGAAGTAAATGAAATGTTTTTCCTCATGCGTCACGTACGACCCTGCAGTGACAACAATGGAGTTCTTATGGCCGTGTTCCACATCCGCGGTCCGAAGATACATCCGAGAGACTCTCATAATTCCTCACCGAAGTTCTTCCCAACGATGCAGTGCCAGACGGCCGTGTGCTTCTCATCGAACGCCGTCTTTATGTGGAGAGCAATGTCTTGTTGAGATGTTTTTGATTCCATTGCCTGGACATGATGCACAGCATGTTAGCCAATAGTGCAGAGCGGTGATCGGAAGCTTAATTTGCAGACGTGGCTAACCTCAGACGCTATTGCAATGGCGTCTTTCTGCATCTCCTCAGACATGTCAGCTTTCTTGATTTGTGCTTCTGCAGCCATTGCGAGGACCATATATAAAACGCACGAAATGTCCGGTTGGCTGGAAGAAAGGATAAGAGCAGATGGATTTGCTTCGTAAAAGTGAAAGTCGAAGGAAGAAATTTCAGCAACTTCGTGGTCGAAATGAAGTCTAGGCTGCTTTGTAGTCTAGATTTCCAGGAACCTAGATTTCAGTGAGGGGACGCTTGGAATATGGAAGACCCAGATTTCGCGCCGCAGGGAACCCCTGGGATTGGCGAACACTACCCCGGCAGCAAGTTCGCGAAGATTCGGACAGGAAAATAACCAATGTTCAGGTGGCGTGAAATTCAGTTCGCGAATGCATGGGGTATCCCTCCGGGTTTCGTGACGTTTTCGTGACGCCAGGAAAAGGTTCAGTTCCGACTCTTCGCGGAAGAGGTTTGCCCCAGATTGGTTTTGACAGTCAGATCAGAGTTATCAGAGCGTACGACAGTAGGTCCTTTGAAGTTGTATTGCCCCTACTAGACACGTCTGGGCTAGCTTCTGCACCTAACGTGAAGGCCTTTGCGCTGCAGTTATAGGACATCCTACATGGCTCGCAAGAGCTTGCGTCAACGAATCAAAAGCGCTGTCAAGAATGTGGAAATTATGGAACTACCACGAGAGATGATGACCAGAAACGGTGAGCTGCGTGCGGATTGACGAAAAATGGAAATGCGCTGGAGATCAGCTCTCAACAGATAATAAGTCGCACTATCGTCAGGAGACATCTGCACGTTTTCAGCTGCTCGTTCTCCGCTGCAGGAATGGCTTTCCAGCTGGAGAAAAAGCAGAGCAGAGCTTTGACTCATGATGAGGAAATTTGGGTGAAAGATTTGCTCAAGGTACGACCGTCGCATCTAGCTTCCCCGGTTCTTGTTTGACTTACTGTGGATTGCTCATTTAGGCGCAAAGAGTTGCAAAGCCGAGGGAGAATTTTACGGAATGTGCTATACATCTTTGGCTCCTCCAATAACCGTGGCAGAGAAACATGGAGGAGCATTTTGCACCATCCATTTGGCCCCAAGTGCTTTCTGGCAAGCTGACAGAAGCAATGGAGCCTGGCGCAGTTTATCTCTTTCTCAAGCAGCCGAAGACCAACAAAGCAACCACAGGTGTGCAAATTGTAACTGCAGAGAGCATGGTTCAAGGCATGGTTGAGGCCAGAAGCACAGAGGCTTCAGGGAGCATGACTCCTGCTAACCCTTCACAGCTTCAAGATTGCCAGTCTTCCAGACTTCAGATGCAGGAGGATAGATGTTTTCAACAACAGGTTCAGCACCAAAAACCATTCAACCCAAGAGCAGCACGCAGTGTCAAGAGCCAACGGCAGAATGCTAATTTCCCGTATCAAGCGATGAATGGGGGATGCACGGGAATAGATGGCACCACAGAATGCAAGCATGTGGGCTTTATGCACTTCCGCATTGTTGAGGAGAATGAGATGGCCTCTCTGTACGTGTATGAGTTACAAGTGGAGGCTGAATATCAAGGGATGGGAATTGGCAGCAAGCTAATGAGGATTGCTGAACTCATGGCAGAGAAGGTATGACAGCTGAACCAATTTCAGATATGTGACTTTCGGGTTTCATTTTTCTGCTCTCAGCTATCAATGTTGTGGTGTTGACAACTGTTTCAATGTTATTTTATCATATGTCTTGTTCTTCTCTAAGCTTCTCCATCTCTCACCTTCTGTGTTCTTTTCACCGTCTTGTATCCATTTTGTTTTATCAGTGTGAGCTCGAAGCCATCTTTCTTACGGTCCAGAAGGAAAATACATCTGCCAGAGCATTCTACATGGAGAAGCTAGGGTGAGAAACATCAAAATCAGGCTGCTTTCAAAGGGGCTACTGCAAGGATTCTGTTCATAGAATTTAGACCACTGGTAGAATGTTGTGCAGTCCTTGAACACCCTGTGTCCTACCATGCCCCTGCTTTGTTTGTGGTGGTTCTTCATCGCACCACCTCGCTGCTGATGCACTTCTAACGTTGGCTTTCCAGGTCTCCCAGTCTTATGTATTCAACTGATACATCATCTTTCTCCCCTCTTTGCAGGTTCCAAACCGCAGATCATTCACCTTCAAAGGTACAGCATTGCCAACCTTTCTCACTCGCATACCTCACCCAGCATAATTTTATGGCTGCTGATTACCTGGTGATATTGCTATGTGCAGGACGAGCAGCATGATTACGAAATATTGATAAAATCATGCTAATCTGTTGATGTATGTGCCTAAGATTGTTACTCCATCACAATTGGAACAAATTAGGCTTGTATGCAGTCTTTTTAAAATGTAGATACGGAATGGCTGGAACAAACATTCTCAAAGCTAGAAGATCCATTCCCAGCACCTTTTATGGAGGATAGGTTGTGAATGCTCGTCCTGGTGCGTGCTTATCACCGACTACCAGCCTCTTATCACGATTCACAACCTCCTCAGCTACGCCATTCACTCCGCTAAGATATGACAGGGTCACTTGGTCGCATAGCTTCCGCTAGTACTAACACAATCAGCGGAAACGATAGCGGCTTCAAGGATTCGCGTAGCGGTGACCGAAGCGAGTGTTATTCGACCATTGAAACCCCAAGCAAATCCGTGAGGCGACGACCATGGCTGGCCAATCCCCGCAAACTGGCCACGTCGCGTATTTCCAAGCTGCTCCTCTTTCTGAGCCTTCTCACTGCCTTACTCCTGGGCTACTCGTTTCAATCCAGCGTTCTACGCTTTTCTGCTATGAATGCAACGAGCGCCACATTCGCAACGCGGGATTTAAAAGGCGACGTCAATGGAACATGGAGACTTATACCCGAGAAGATCGACGCTGTATCGCGGATTGAGGACAACAGCCTAAAAGGCGTTCGCTTGAACATCACAATCAATTGCGTGGATGTTCTTCAAGCAGCCGCTAACCTCCCTGGTGCCACGAGGACTGAATTTAATCCGTCGCGCTTAACTAGGTGCAAAGCCGGTTTATGCTCGGCGATGCAGCAACTTGCGATCCAAGCTTCAGAGCGAGCGGCTATAGAGATCCAGAACCAAGACCGAAGTTTCTCTCCAGCTTCAGTTAGCCATGTCGGTTCTGTAACTCCTGCTGACGTGGATAACATTAAAAATGAGTATCTAGGAATCGTGTGCAGCAAGGAGTGGAAGCACAATCTCCTGAGTCGCTTCCCTGAAAACCATTTCTTTAAGCGAGGCGTTAAAGCCCAGAAGTTATCGGTGTCGAACGTTTCTGCCCAAATCGATTCTCTTTGCGGGAAAGTGCAAGAGATAGAGAGGAACTATACGAAAGACCTCTTACAGGACTCCACAGAACGAGATGAGGGTAGTATCAACACCACCACCGGCAGCAACAGCAGCAGCAGCGGCAGCAATCCAAGTGATCAGGACAGTCCGTGCAATCACTGGCCTGAGTCGTGCTGGCCTGTGCCTGGCATGCCGTTCTCCAAACTCACGGTAAGCACACGAGCTGCACCTGCTGGTCTTGGGTACATTTCCGGGTCATGTGTTAGCTGTTCCAACTGATTCCAATTTCTGTTACGTTATTGCTGTGTGAAAAGGACTCTAGGACATCGGAATATTGTACACCTCTCTTGTCCCTCGTGTGTGTGTGTGTGTGTGTATGTGCGCGCGTGTGTGCGCGCGCGCGTGCGTGCGCATGCGTGTGTGTTATTGTTTGTCAAATTCCTCCTTATTGTTGTTGTTTCGATGCAGGACTTTGCGAGTCGCAAGTATCTGGTGTTTGCAGCGGTGGAGGAGCAGCTCACCAACGCCAAGATCCATGTCATTGAGGCGGCACGGGTCGCTAGAGAGACCAACCGCATCCTCGTCCTCCCAAAGGTGAATTTGTGATTTAAAACATTTTTTCGCACACTCCTGGGTTCTCACGCCTCTCAGCCCATTCCATGCTTTGAGTAGAAGAAAAAACCTCTCAATATTCCAAGATTGTTTGATCTGAACCAAGTTCAATGCTTGCTGAGCTACCACATCAACCACTTGCACACAATGCTTTTGCACCATGACATCACTCAAAAGACCTGGTCATCCAGATTTAGAATTCCAATCTTTGTTCCTTGGCCTTCCTCCACTCACCCCTCCCCGCACAAAACCCCCCCCTCCCCACCCCCCCCCCCCCCTTTTTTTTTTGGTTTGTTTGTTTGTTTTGTATGTGTTTTCATATTGCGCTGCCTGTGCTTCCCAGGGCGGCCACAGCCATCTGTCTGTGGGTCGATCCATGCCCATGTGTGCCTACTGCGACTTGGCTCACCTCAACGACACCGAGTGGGTCTCCCCCGAGTTCTTTCTTCTCCTCGCCCGAGCTGCCTTTATCCACCCCTCTGTGGGATATCTCTGCGTCGACACACCTGAGCTCGGCCGGCCCTGCTTCGGCACAAGTGAGCTTATAACGGAAGAAAGCTATCGTCAGCCTTGCTTAGTATCATGGCTCATGGTCCATGGCTCATGGCTCATGGCCCAGTGCAGATTTTGCAGTGCTGCAGACTAAAACTATGATTAATCTTACAAAATTCTGCAGTGACCAACCACCATGTACTGATCCCACATCCCCCTATGTACCCCTCCCAGAGGAGATTATTCGAAGCCTGGGGGCGTTGCTGACCCTGGGCATGGGTCAGCTTCCCTCACGGACCACCACTGTCAGGCTGCACATGCCTGCTCGCCCCGACCAGATCCGCTCGCTGGTCCATGCGTGGTGAGTCTTCCAGTGAGTCGTATAGCCACTCAACTCTAAAGCCATTCTCGTGCAGTGGCGAGCCATGAGCCATGGGCCATAAGCTATTGGCCATTTGCCATGGGTCGTGGGGCATGGGGCATGGGGCATGGGGTATGGGGCATGGGTCATGCTACCATCCCATTCGTTGTGGCCACGTTCCCAGCCTGTTTGTTGTCCACAATGCTCCCCCTGTCCCCGGTCTGTCAGGGCTGACAAGGTCGTGGTGATCTACTCAAGAAACACGTTTGACCGCTTTGACAGGGCAACAGATGACATCGCAGTCAACATAGATGGCCTTGCAAACAGCACTTGTCAATATCATCTCCTATGTCCAACGTTCCCATTGCTGTCAGGGATGACAAAGACGTGGTGATCTACTCAAAGAACACGTTTGATCGCTTTGACAGGGCAACAGATGACATTGCACATGAAGTCATGCCCTATGCGAAGCAGTGGCATGCTGTGGCTGACAGAATCGTTGCCAGGCTTCCAAAGCCGTTCATTGCCATACATTTCCGCTCCGAATTCATCGCGTATAACCTGGTAAGCTTGACTTGGAACTCATCGCGTGCACTTTCATTCTATCCTGCTGGCTTTTCTGGTTTGTTGCAGAAATCATAGAATCGTTGGGTAGTCCAGTTTTTGGACTAATTTATACAGTTGATTCTTCATGCTCACTGTGTGAATGGCTGCTGTAGGCAGAGGAGAAAAAGGCTGGTCTGTCAGCTGAAGATAAGCTGAAGATTCTGGGAAAGCGCATGGAGCGATGCACGAGAGAAGCTGCATGGTTGATAAACCGTGTGAAGGCGAGGCGTAATGCCAGAACTGTTTTTATTGCCGCTGACATTCCGTACAACAAGTCAGATGCAACACCCCGTTCTGAGTCTTGGGGAGGAATGGCCTGGGCGTATGGGAATGGCTCGCTGACTGAGGTGTCTCACTATTGGCTGTCCTGGCTGCGGGATAATGTCAAAGGGACTGTTATGATTGACGAGGTGATGCCATCGTTAAATGACCAAGACCCAGGTAAGAAATGTTTGTGTTAAGGAGCGCGCCTTAATTTGGTGGCATTGTCGTTTGGAGTTGATTGTGTTATTTGAATTGGACCTAAGTGTTATCGTTGATGTGTTTGATTGTGGTCCTGCAGGAATTGTTGCCATTGTGGACAAGCTAATATGTGCACAGGCTCCAGTCTTCATGGCTGGCCTTTCATCATGTGGTGGTCGTCGAAATTTTGAGAAAGACATTCTTCTTCATCGTAAGAACATATTGGGCAAATGGATTGCTATTCCCCGGTGGCCTAGAAAAAATAACCCTTTTTAGATTTATTGGCTCCAACAGGGTGGCTCTATGATATGTGGTTATTCTTTTGTGGGACACCTATATTTATTTGCATTTGTTTTTATGTGTAAGCTGCTTTGTTAATGAATGTTGCGTCCATGACAAGCAGGGATGTACCTGTACGGCCTCCTCAACCCACTTCGAGCATCCTGTAAATCGGCAGCTGCGTGCCTGGGTTGGGTTGGGTTGAGTTGTTGCATGTTATGAATGAACTTGCAGAGTGCGCAGAATATCGAATAACGAGAATGAACTGATTACCGAATTACTGAATGACGATACAATTGTTGGGCTGAAAAAGGCCCTAAGGATCTTTACAGAGGATAACTCTGGGTAGGATACTTTGTAATAGCGGAAGCGTTTAATGAAGCTTTGTGAACCGACCTTGCACTAGTGTGTGAGACCTAAGTAGATTAAATTAAACAAGCAAATACAAGATTTTATATAAGAGTACAGGGAATACGAATAGATAGATAACTGTATTGCTGTTGCGATTCGATACAGTGCGACTCGGGCAACTGCTCTGTAACGAGTCAGTTGTGTGTCCTTAACCGTCGCGCTGTGATTGTCGAGTCAAAGGTCGCTGACCTTTGACTTTCCCGTAACCTCCAGGCGGTTACCCTAACCTCCGAGGTTTGACTCGATGCTTCGATTCGGACTGCTTCGCTAGTGTCTTGGGTTTTGACACGACAGAAGCGCACTAAGACTTATTGTTTCCAACACTCCCCTTCGCTTCTGGAGTGTCGCCGCAGGTGACGTGGCCTTGTCCAGTCAGCAGCATGCAGTATTCGAACTTCTGCTTTCCGAGCTTCTTGGTCAAGTAATCGGCTGCCATCTCAGACGTGGGACAGTATGACAGATCGAGTTTCCCCTTTTCGATCTCGTCCTTCACGAAGAAATAGCGCAGGGCGATGTGTTTCGTTCTGTTTGCGAAGCCGTTCTTGTTGGCGATGCGAATTGCTGACTGGTTGTCGCAGAACACGGTGAAGCTGGGTAACTCGGCTAACTTCGCTTCTTCCAGCAGTTCGCGAAGGTAAAGTCCCTCCTTGGTGGCTGAGCAGAGTGCGATATATTCCGCTTCAACTGAAGACAGTGCGATTAATTCCTGCTTACTCGACTGCCAGGAGATAGGACCGATAGGCTCGAGGCGGTATACATAGCCGGTGCGTGAGCGCCTGTTATCGGTGTCGCCGGCGTGATCGGCGTCGACGTAGCCGATTAGCTTGGTCGGTGTAGTTCCGTTTTTGTGATAAGTTAATCCGGTCGTCGCGGTGCTGACGAAATAGTGGAGAGCGCGATCGAGTTCCGCCAGATGCTCTGCTTCAGGCTTCTTGAGATAGGTGGCGAGCTGGCTCGCGGAGTAGGATAAGTCGGGACGGCATGTGACTGCTGCGAAGAGAAGACATCCGAGCTTCTTCTGATAGTCGCGTATGCCGGCGGGCTTGAGTAGGGTAGATCGTCCCTTTTCGGTTCCTGACGTGTAGCGGTAAGGCGTGGAGATGGCGCTTGGTGTGAGGCTGAATCGTTTCGCGACGGTGTCGGCGTACTTCTCGGCGCTTAGATAGATTGCGTTTTCTTCCTCGCGGATGTTGAGCCCGAGGTACTGTGTAACGGTAGAAGAGACCGTGAGCGTGAGGTCTTTCTAAAGCTCCCCTTCGAACCACGTGGCGATGCCGTCGGTTGACCCAATGTAGAGGAGATCGTCCACATAGACGATTAGGAGAACGTAGTCACTTCCCTTTGTTAGGCGATACATGCCCTGGTCATGCGGGAGTTGTTTGAAACCGATGCGGATGAGGCGGGCGTGTAGGTACTGCTGCCACAGTCGCGGTGCCTGCTTGATCCCGTAGAGCGACTTAAGCAATTGACAGACTCGGTTGGGTTCGCCGTGGGAGCCGTGCGGGAGTTCGACGAAGATTTATGCATCCACAGGTGCGTAGAGAAATGCGTTTGTGACATCGATTTGTCGCAGTTTCTTTTTCTTCATGGCGGCGACGGCGATGAGGATTCGGAGTGAGGTGTGACGGCAGACCGGAGCGAAGGTTTCGATGTAATCTCTTCCGTGCTCCTGGTCAAAGCCGCGTACGACCCAGCGAGCTTTGAATTTGTCGTTGGTGCCGTCAGCTTTCGTCTTCACACGGAAGACCCACTTTCCGGTAAGAATAGTCTTGTTTTGTGCTACGCCGATGGGAACGATTTTCCGGGTGTTGCGCTCCTCTAGTGCCTTCAGCTCTTTGTCCATGGCTTCACGCCATTTCTCCTTATGTTCCCCCCCCAGAGCCTGTTGAACTGTCGCAGGCTTCTTAGGAATGGCGACGCCATGGACTGCAGTGACGAGGCCAAGGATTTGCAGCCCAGTCTGTGAGTATCGAGGGAGTTCTGGATCCTCGGGATAAGCTGCTTCGTCTCCCGCTTCTGGGTCGGGTATGAAATTTGGCCCTACCCTTTCTGCCTCGCTGGTGTTGACTGTCGCAGGTGTTACGTAACCATTGTCGGCGAAATGGTAGAAGACTTCGGCGTTGTTAGTGTCGCGAGGATCATCCTCATCCATGGGCACGTCGACGGAGCAGTACGGAAGAGGTCCGGCTTCCTCCGATGCGTTGTCGACGTTCTGCTCGTCCCAGTCTGCTTCATCTGCTTCTGGCGCGAAGGCTCGGTCACCACGAAAACCACCGGTGAGGTCCCGATTCTCATGCAAGTCGGCGAGGTACGTCTGAAGGGTGAGTCGTTCGTAGAAGATCACATCACGTGCTGCTACTGTTTCTTTTGTGTGGACGTCGAAGATTCTCCACGCGTTGTAATTTTTCTCGATGCCGAGGTGTAGTCCCCACTGTGCCCGTTGCGAAAATCTTCCCGCTCGTGCTTCTGGGGGTCTGTACTGTACCATGCACCCGAAGACTCGTAACATTTTTGTGCTGCCCTGCTTCCCTGTCCACAGCAGATGCGGTGATGCGTTGTTCGGGAGTGACGACGACGACAACAATTTGTGCAGCATGACAGCATGGTCCATTGCTGCTGGCCACTGGTGGTTGGGTAGCCGCATGCCACGTAACAGTTTGCGCATGCTGTTCTGCAGAGTCCTGTTCATTCTTTCTGCAACACCTTGCTGCTGATGTGCGTAGGGAAGGGAGAGGAGTTGCTTGATCCCCCTTTCCGCCAGGAACTGCTTGAAGCGCTGAGAGGTGTACTCGCCACCTCCGTCTGACTGGAAGCTTTTTAGTTGCGTTCCAGACTCTCTCTCTGCTATCGGTAGCCAGGCGGCGAATGCTGCGAGCGCCATGTCGCGGCTAGGTAGGTTACGATGCCAGACGTATCGAGTGGCGGTGTCGATGAAGGTGATGGTGTAGTTGTAGTTGACTTGTCCTGGTTCGCGATTGTAGAGGATATCGCTGTAGACCTTTTCGAGTGGTGCGTACGCTGGAGCGCTCGGGTTGTGATGTGGAGCGAACGGTCGATGAGGTAAGTCAGCTTCGGGGCATATAAGGCAAGTCCCTCGTGCCTTTTGGAGTTCTCTGCCGTCGGGTAGAAGTAGGGAGTCTTTGTCAAGAACTCCTGCTCTTATCGCGTTGTTTAAAACCGTGTTGCTTGGATGTCCTGTGCGTGCGTGCCAAATTTCTTCAGAGGCGCGGTGTCCGGGTGAACGTTGGTATGCGTCGGAGTTGGAGTAAAAACTGGCGACGAAGTTGGCGCTTCGGTGGACTTCACGTTGAGTTGGATTCAGCTGTTGCGCGGGTGTTGGTGGTGCTTCGTCGACTGTGACTGGTGTCGTTGTTCCTGCTGCTGCTGATGTTGTCTCTGCTGCTGCCGATGTTGTTGCTGCTGCCGATGTTGTTGCTGCTGTCGATGTTGTCTCTGCTTCTGGTGTTTGTTGAATCGTTGCTAACGCTCGTGTTCGTTCTGCTTCAGGGATAGTGTGGGAGTACCAGAAACCTCCCGGGCTGAAGTCGGGGTCGAGATCCGGACGGTGTGTCCAGTCGGTAAAGTTCACGATGGCGTCGCTGTCTGCAGTGCCCAGGTCAGGAACGAAGTCGAGGA